CCCACCACCTCCTTTCATAACCCTTGAACGTACCTAAACCGTTCGATATACCCTTCCGACCTTCGCCTTTTTTGTTCTTGTTTGCTCTCAAACACTCTTTTCACTATGCGGCAAGAAACCACTCCATGGGGCGGGCTAGCTGTTGAACAATTTTTGATCGTACGCCGATATGTCTCTCCCTTCAAACTATGCTTCCTCGGCGCTAATATTAGAGGATATGTTACTAGTCAGTGCGGATACGTTGTTGATCAGGTAGAGATACAATAGTGAAGGATCAGGATAAGATATAAGCGAATAGTTTCCGCGATTCACTGAAACTGTAGAGGAGCATGACAAGTTTAAAAAACAAGTCCCCTCTTGCCAGAGGTTCAAAGAAAAAGGGACAGGTAATAGGGTATCAATATAGAAAAGCAAAGTCATTAGAACGCCTCGAGAACACAATTTCCGACGCTAACACATAACCAGAGCGAACATTTAGCGATCCGCGATGAGCAGTGACCTCTCCCGTGGCAGAAACAGATGCGACCACGCTTAAGACGCGAACGTTTCTCTCTCTCCATAGGACCGAAAAACTCCTCAGAAGCACTTTCCAACACCTTCTGCGACAAAGGCTAGGACTGCTAAAAACGAGGCGACTATCAGCCTTGCAGACGCCGGCCTTGATGACGCCAGAATCTATTGGCGAATTCTATCAGAAGATTCCTGTCTATAACAATGTCTTTCTCGCGTCCGGTAGCAGCGGGCCGCCCAACAAACATCGCGAAAGCTAACCGAATCTCGTCCGTAGGAGCGGCATTCGTGTTTTCATCGGTCATCCAGCCGTCTATCTCGGGCCCCATTTCTCTATTAAGGATCTCAACGTGTTGCACCCGTACGGCGAGGGAGGGGCGGTTTCTGGTGGGGATTGCATAAGACCTTCCGTGGAGCCGCCAAACATCAATAGTGATATTGTTTGCTCCCCTAAGATCGATCGTGATGCATGCCTTAACGGCCGTCCCTGGGGTTTCTAACCACCCTCTCGCATCGACCGCCAGCCGCGGCGCAGATTCCGACGCTCCCACTTCGAGGACAACTGTCAAGTCGCCTGTCGACTCAAGCGCCCAGCAGGCATCCGGTTCCTTCGCCCAGTTACCTAGTACAGTCAAAGGTGAGGCCAGAGGGACGAATTCACTAGAGACATCCATTGCAAAAAGTTGTTGGTCAACCATAGCTTTGAACAAGCCGGTAACAACCTCATAAGCGTATCCGGGCATCCTGATTGTCAGGACCTCGGCCAGAAAGTTGTATAAGAGTTTGGCGGACTTCAGAGGTCTATTGCGATCGGATGCAAGGAATTCGAACTCATTCGCGCTGACGCCCGAAAACTCCACAACTTCACGGCCGGTGTGGAGATTGTTTCGCAGGACGGCAGCAAAACTTGAATAACCGTCGTACTTCAACAGATTAGTATAGGCGGGGACATAGGTAACAAGCCCAGGCATCTTGGTTTCATTAGAGAAGTTTGAGGACGAGTTTGAAGAGAAACTTGAGCTACTACCATCGCGTTGGGGAAGGCAGAATGAGGGCTCCACCGTTGGGAAGTCCATCGTGGGAAGGTGCACCTTCCTGCCGCGATGATGTCTTAGATGAAGATGACGGGTCTGAATGCAAGAAGTATCCAAAGAGATATGCACTAGCCACTCGCTGTCGACAGTGATGGTTTGCTCTGGGAGAGTGATGAAAAGAAAACTTGCCTCTGGTAATTGGAGGCAACCTTAGGGTTCTTTCAGAGGCTTCAAGAGGACGTTAAAGAGGACCGGGGAGGCTGTAGAGCCCACAACGCCTGTTATGTCTGCAGAACAAACGATGGAGTCACGTGATTGGTAACCTAAATATTACGTGCTCTCAGCGGTTTTAGAGCTGTCGCCCAGTTTTGTATTTTCACTCTCTATCATCAATCCGATATTTATCCTTCAACTCACACTTCGTCATTATATTGATTTCGTCCACATGAAGCCACCATCCAACTGTGCGTTAGATCTGGTGGTATTGGGATGTGACCCACAGCTCTCCGGATTGCCTCATTCTGAGTTGAGAGTCCGCAAGGATCGGCGAATATGGGTTTTCACTGGAAGATACTAAAGAAATTAATTAGACTAAATAACATAAATCCTACTTATGAGACAAAGCTAGAGGAGACGAGACCTGGGAATGGAGAGAAAAAGAGAGAGCACTAAACTGGAGCGAAAAGAGAGATTTGATGATTCTATCCCCATCTTCGCAAGGAGAAGATCTATTTAGCCTAGACGGTAGGTTAACACCTCAGACACCCACTCTCTCGTCACCTACCATGCAAATCATGTCAGCAGAATAAACAAGTCGAGATAGGACAGACGCTTGGACCAAGTCGGACTCAAGATGAAGGTGACGACGGCAACTCAGTAGCACAATCGATAGTCAGACATTTCGCCGGAGTCGAGATGAACTCATCGATTCGGCTAAGGACTCAACTATCTGGCTTTTGGGCGACCCGCAAACCTCGCCGGCAATACTGGGTCAGGACCACCTGGGCGGCGAATGGTGCGGCATCTGCAATTTCAACGCAAGGTCCTGCCTGGGGTATGATGAGATCCGGACTGTTTTCAGGGATCAGCTTTATACAACTCGTCAATGCTCTCCCCAAATAAGTATTCGAAAGACTTTTGGCCAGCCGCAGTTTTTCATCATGTTCCAACACCGCCTTCAAGAAACCAGCGCAGCCCATTCTAAAGCTACTTAGGTCTCGAAATAGCTTAATTCGGAGATGATCTGGATGCCTGCAAGTGATCATAGTTTCGGATACCAAAATACTTGGATTGCGATCAAGGAGGGACCGCAGAATGGTCGTGGCCTAGACTACTCGATTCCATAAGAGTCGGAATTCAGGACCGAGAAGTACTCTGGGAGTGGGTAAAGCTCAGAGTTCTTGATCGAGCAGGACCTCGACCAGAGTTCGCCCGAAAAGATGTGGCTAGCGAATGTTTCGAATATGTCCGGCGTAATCTCGCAGCGAAGTTGATGTTAGGCTAAGATCTCGAGAATCTCGGGACTTGAAACAGACTTGAGAATGACAGAGGTAATTTCAACGTCCTTGGCATGCCCAAGCCGAATGGAGCTGGGAGGGGCAAGGGAGGGGCGAGGGCGTTCAGAGTCGATGATCCCCGAAAACGATGCCTTTAGACAGTGTAATCAACGGAGTGAGACAGGTCGAAATGGATAGATGCTCGGAGCGAGTTGGGCTCAAGGCAAGGGTGACGAAGACAACTGAGTGTCACGGTCGATGACCATACCTTTCGCCAAAATAGACAGGAAGCCATGCGACACGGTTGAGGACTCAACTATCCAGCCTGCTCCTGGGTGACCGGATTGTCTCGCTGTCGATGCTAGTCGGGACAGCCTGAGCGTCGGATGGCGCGGCATACGCTATGAAATGAAAAGGGCAGTGCATGGAGCCGGGTCCTCCGGTGCGCAGGAGGCAGTAGGGGCGAAAGAAGTAAAAAAGGAGGGAAAAGCAGAGAAAGTGCGTGGTCGTGTCGAGGAGGAGCAGCGGTCTTCTATAAATGAATAGCAGCTAACCGGGGCGTTCAAGGGGCCGGGATAGCGTTAAGCCCAAAGGAGGCCCAGCATGAGGGCCTTATACCCGGAATGGAAGGAATGTAGCGATCTAGAGTAGGCGATCGGGGCTGGCAGAGGAACTGTTTTAATGGGAGCCGATTCTAGCGCCCCGCTCACCATGTTCTCGTATACTAACTAACTAGTTGGTTAGTTAATGCTAGAATAAAGGCTTAATATAGTATTATCGAAGATGCCTCTAGTGAAATTACTAGTAGATCGCGACCGTACCGTGTATATTATATCTTCCGGCCCCGAGAAAGCTATTTACTTTTCCCTAAATACGATTTTACGCTAATACGACTAAAAGAGAGAAAAGTAAGGGGAAAGGCTATTATTCGATAAAGGCAAGATAAGTCTAGTCTTTAGCGTCACCCTAGAATAGAGGTTAGAAGTTCTAATATTCTATTTCACTATCGATATCAATTCTATTCATATAGTGTTTCTGAAAAGGGCTAGCTAAGGGTCCTAGCAAGGAATGCGACGATATATTAATTCAAGTTCTCAATTTTCGCATTTTGATCTTCTGTCAGAGTTTTCCATTCTTTAGCGTCCTTCAAATGTTCCAACCTATGAATCCTCTGGTCCACAAGGGCATTCACTCGCCAGCGATCCTGTGTTCCCTTCCTCTTCTGGCAACATCTCGGCACTGCTAGTACCTTCTTCCTAATAAACTCAGTCGGATCTACTGCAAATGAAAGCCATGTATTTGCATAAACACCATTGTCATCCTCAATGTCAATGACGTTAATCTGTAAGACCTCGGGGTTGATATCGTCAGCTGGGACAAGATGGTCAAATGTTACACCATAATAGTCAATCAGCCTACTCAAATTAAAAGGAGAGAACTGATTAGCCATAGGGCCATCAGAGCTAGTTGCTTCCACTAGGAGAGATTGACTTACTCCTCCGGACGCTTCTCCGGCATCCAGCCCAAGTATTCATCCTGCACCACCAGATCACCTGGGACTTCCGGACAAACATCCCGTGGGTATATAGTCTGATACGTTAACCGTGCTAGCTCTGGGCCTGCTGGCTGTGGGAATGTTCGGTCTCCAAACTCCAGACGCCAATGGATATGTGGTAGGAGCCTTTGTATGGCGATTAGGGGACCTTCGATTTGGATTCTGAGCGGCTGATCAGATGGTGGGAGGTGATACCGGCCGGCGGGTGTGTGAATACAATGAGGAATGTAAAGTGGGAGCGCCATAGATGAGACCACTTGATTGCTGGAGTTGATTGAGGAGGCGTAGTGACTAAACCCGTTAGTGAGTGTAATCTTGGAAAGAGAGGGCACTAGATTAGGTTCGACTAGCTTTTTTATATGCCTAGGGAAGAGTACTGCGATATCTCCCTTCAACTAGGATGTGCGGGGTAATATAGCGCCGGGGCTCATTATATGACTTGAATCCAACATCTTCGTGTGGTTATACCATTGGATAAGTGAAAACCAGGCGCTATTAAAACCTTCGAAGAAGTATGGCGCTGATGTACTGATCAATACGCCTCTGCCTGGCCGTGCCAACCAACCAATCAATTTATACCCGATGGACTAAGCGCTTCGCTCTGCTTTCCCATAGGACCATTTCCCCCTCCAAATAAAAAATCCAGGTATGGCGAGCGTACGGGTAAAAATCACAATGGTAGAATTCTCTAACTAATAAAATAAAAACGGTCCTTAATGAAAATTAGTGCGGACAAAATTACGAAGCAAAAACATACACCTATGTACTTTTCCGGTCCTAATATTCTCTAGTAAAAAGACCTGGTAATTAACATTTGAACGTACCACCTTAGTTCTTGACAATTAGCCCTAAGTGTGACGTACCCTGGTTGATTTCACTCTGTTCTAATCCCGCCCTCTATGACTAGCTGTGTATGCGCTAACTAAATGTGCACCCTAGGCGCTACTTCATATGGTAAAAACTCTCGCGTCGTATTGCCCCCAGCCAATCGCATATACTGGCTATTTCGAGCTGGGATTGCTCGGATATCACATGGCGTTATTTGAGAATAATGGTTGCGGCGGCAGCCCATACAGGCGAATTGGTTGGCTGGCGTTAAGGTAACACTCACGGCAAGCCGCGTGTCATGTCAGTACGAAGTGGCTAATTGCCCGTACACCGTTTCAAGGCGACCCTCTGGTTCTAAGGATAGAGGTATTGGCCTCTATCCTCTGCCAGCCTCATCTAATCCCCTGCTTCCACTATTCTGGAGGCCGTGTCATTAGTATCATGCCTGCTCGAGGTGACTATTATTACTCAGCCTGATAGAGATCAGTTCTCACTGCTATGCCTAGGTCTTTTAACTGATCCTGACCTGAAATCGGGGGGAGAACCCCTGGTAGCCCCTACCCCACTAACGGGGTCTTTATCTCCGTCTCTATATGCCCGGCGCCAGGACCGCTTAGCCACCTTAAGTGATCTCCTGGCCTAGGGAAACAGTCTCGCCCTATATATGCTTGTGGACTAACGATTTGATGTTGTTGGATAAACGCGCGCAGGAAGTGAAACAGTCTAGATGTCATTTTATGGCATCAACCTAGTTTGAGAGATGGTGGATTATAGAAGATATCATCCTAATTACGTGCCGAAGACCTGATAGCCTCTAGTCTGTCGACAAATATCACCTACCATCTACCCTCCAGAGCCTAGCTTTATTTCTCATTTCACTTTCTACTACTATTCCATCCTCTACCCCAGCCAAATCCTACCACACTTGCACCCCTCTTTTCGCCTTAGCACACCACCGTATATATCTCCGATAACCTACTATGCCTATATATGGTTTCCATTGCATGCGCCGTGCCGCTAACCTTGATATAGAATATATGTGGCATTTACACTGACTA